TGGGTAGAATTTTGTAGATGAATGTTTTGTTTGTGTGGAAAAAAAAATAATAGCGTTCATTTCCGTTTAATTTAGTAAGTTGGTCGCAACGAACTTTATCATGAGATTGAATTTTAAATTATGAAAGAGTGTATTGAGGTGTTGTAAGGCCATTTTTTCTAATAATCTAATCGAATCCAGAATGATAAAATTTATAAGGATAAACTATATACATACCTGAAACTCTAAAATGGGTTTTGCAAATCTTTTTATATCTATTTTCATAAGGGATTATAAATATTGTTTATTTTAAACATTTCCAATATAACTGTATGTTGTATTATATATTTCTATGCAGTATTGTCTTGTATAGGTGCTATCATAAACGCCACCATGCAATATTTTATCAATGTGACATTACTCTTCAACGCACTGTTATACCTGAAATCTAATAAGTATAGATCTTAGTTGGTAGTGGCATGTATGGCGCGCTCAATTTCGTGTCGTACGTGGCGGACCTGGACAAATTATCCAAAATTGGCTGCGTTTGATATATAACTTTCTCGTTGAATTAGGAACAGTGCAAAGTATAATGTTTCAATTTCTGCAAATTAGGCAACAAATATTCCAAATATTTTATGCGAATATATAAATGACGGTCACTGGAATGAATGGTAGTCAGACATGTATACGTGATATCCTAGCGATAGTAAGATAGGCTTATACGCTCAAAAGATATCAGAAGACAATCGTACAACATACGGAGTCAGGAAATCAACAGTTAGTTTCAGACAGCCTTAATTGTGATGAAGCTCTAATTCAGTAAACATCGATAAATTATCAAATAAATATGAGTCTTAACATTGTATGAATGATATTGTATAAAATCGAAACAAATGAAAATATTTCAGGATAGCGAACAATTAGAAATCAATTTTACTCCCAAGTTGGCCTCCAAAGCAGAATTTTGGAACCTTCAATGATGTCACTTTTATCAAAACTCAAACAATTCAAATTTGATATATTTCATTCACGAAGAACACCCACGATATGACATGATTTCAACAATACGAACGAGACGTTTCGTCTAGAATCGTGAACACCTTACTTTTATTTTCAGCCTGAACGACCTCATGCCACCTCAGTCTCAGGAACTATTCTGTCAATAAATACTTAATTATTGAGATTAATTTGAGTATTGACACGGTGGTTATAGTAAAATCGTGATTTCCTCGAGATAATGCATTGAACATTCCAATGATGCGGTATCAATATGATTTTACACAATGGCCAAATTACTAAAATTTCCATGTAATGATGATTTTGGATCCTTCCCGATAAAATATTCTAAACACTGAATAGATCTTGAAGGCTCTACTAATCAGTAATATATTCCCGGTTAAAGATACTTGAACTGAAGATCTGCATAGATGTACACCACTAAAATAACTATGCAATTTATTTGAATTTACTCAACTGCTTACTGATATCGTATGATTAATTACATTGGATTAAGGTATCATTAAGCCTTTTTCGATTTCCGAAAGACAAACTTTCATATATGTTGGATAATGGTGCACCTGTAGCACATTAACTGCTATTGGGATGGGATATATTGAGGAATATGGAGTGCATACAATTTAGTAAAATTTGCAATTGAAATAGGTATTGGGGAGCAATTTTCACCATCTACAGACAAGCGAAGTCAGTTGTGGCAATTTCATTTTTTTTTCTGAAATAAATCTGAAAAAGAATATGCATTTAGCTATTGCTTTCGACTGATGTATATTCTGTTGGTTTGTTACTATATGTATTGCTGATAAAATGGCTATGTATCAAATAAAATGGCATGAATTTGAGAAACAAATTTGCATTTAAACAACACGAATGGTGGCAATAGCGATAATGGATTGAATAATAAATTTACAGTGGTTTACCAGACCAAGAAATTAGAAATGATTTTTAGTTGAAATAATCTAATTATCATATTGATCGCATTACTGAAGTCTGCCTCGTGTCATTGATGAATTGCTTGTAATCTTGAAATCATATATAGGCCGTAAATGTAATATATGTATGTCCGTTCAACGTAATCGTCATAAAAATAGTATGGTTTAGCAACTACTTTGTTGGAGTTCAATGACTCGTATGAGTGGCATTTTGGCGATAAGATGTTGTTAGTACGATAAAACCAGAAGAGTTTCGATTTAATTGATGTGATTCACATATTAGTTATATAAAATGTTTTCCTTTGCTGAAAAAATTGGAAACGATCGCAATTCAGTATTTGAAATAATGCGTAGTATTTAATTTTGTCTAAAAAATATGGTAAAATTAACTCGTTGACTTTCTTATGTCTTGCATTATAAATAATTACTGAATTTTAATGGCCGTCCTTCTTATGTAAATTAAAATCTCGTATTATGACTAATGATGTTTATATTATCATTATTTATATTAAACGGCTTTTGCCGACCCATGTATTTTTTATTAGGCTTGGGCAGAGAATACAACCGCAATTACTTATTGCCACGAAAAATGCATATTCAGTAGGGGCCGACAATTTCCTGTCTCAATAGAATAATAAAAACAATAAGTATTAATATAAATCATCTTATCGTAGAGAGACACAACAATATTTAATCCGATTAGTGACAGAATATTTTCTTGTTAATGAATCATTCACACCAAAAATAGGTTCAGTTCATTCTGATACTGATAATTATCTGAAATTAATGGTCTGCGACCACTGTTGCTTTTTTTAAACAAAAGGATTTGGTCTGTATGTATCAGTTTCAGATTTTAATTCCATGCCGCGTTTTTGATGTGCTTCCGTTGCGTTGTTCGCTGAGTTCAACAGATATATAATGTGAATGCAAGTCGAAAAAGGAGGATAAAAATACCACTAACTTATAGTATATAAATTTTGTACCGAAACGAATATATATATATAGCAAATTAACTAAATTACCTAAATAAATGGGAGTTGGAAGTCATATAAATAGGATATATATATATATATATTAATAAATGTTAATAAACACAACATTTGTTTATATATATCAAGATTGCAGGATTGGTGTATATAGGTATATTTATTTAAATTAATAGACAAGTATATAGAATAGTATTACGTTAAACATCTGATAGCAGTAAGAATCGAAAACTAATTAGTACGTGAGGATACGTTAATATTCGCGATATTAATTATTAATCCTAATCCATAATGTTATAATTGAATGCGTTGTAAAATTAGGTTCGTTTGAACCGATAAGTCCAGGTCGTGTAGGTATATCAGGTAAAGTGAAAGATTTTATTATTGTTATTCCATGTCATTCTTTTATGATCATGGGTTATATGATGCTGTCATTTGGGAACTATAATTGTTTTCTTGTGGGATTGTAATTATTTGCAGGTACTAATTAATTGAACACTGCGAAACATTACATTGTACAAAATCATTATTTTTCGATCCTCAGTCTTGAAATTAGTTTTGTTTTCAGATTGGAGTTGTAGCAGCAGTCAGCAATCTCTCACAAAATTTAGCTTTGAGTCAAAAGCGTAGTCATGTATTTTTCCCGCAAGTTATACAAATTGATGTACGGTACCATTTTCTGAACTTCAAACGTTTCAAAAATCTGTTTGGAAAGAATCTCTAATTTCCTCTTCGTAGCTGAGCAGCCAAAATTCGACTTATGGCCTATAATGGTTTTCAATCGCTCGTGCGTATTCTGAGAAACTTTAAGCATTTTCTACACAGTTGAACTTATCGATAATAGCATTGCGGTAAAATATTAGTTGACTTATGTCTACTCATTAGCCGTCCTTGAATGCGGCTTACAAACAGAAATATCAAAATGAAAACTGTGTTTTCACAACAGAAGTGTGCTTTCGAGTATATCGAGTGCACTAGAATCATGTCTATTTGAATAGGCCAGACTATCTCACTATACCAAAAATTTATCGGATTTACTCTCTGTTAACTGTTTTTCAATTTGGTTCCTGTAGTGTATGTTCGATATCATCTGTGATAAACGATAATAGTCACATTCTACACATATTTCATTTTCAAAACGCGTTTTATCCAGTGGATGACGCAACCTGTCACGTGAAATTACTGGATTTTTTTAGAATCTCAAGTTGCTATATAACGATATGGGTGAATGCTTCAAATACTCGTTTTATATTAACGTGTGTAGTAGGCTAATTTATGTGAAATGTGCACTGTGTAATCTTAAACGAACCACCCGTTCAGCAATATAAGTGTTATGTAGTTTTATCGTGAATTTAGGTATATTATATAAACGTGGAGGTAAATATATTTAGAGTTATGTTAACTTCAAGTTCAACAACAACCGATAGAAAATTATTGAGATTATCAGTTAGTGAAGTTCAACGCGAGTTTCAGCCACTTGGCGCGCGAGTCAAAAACCCTCTTTCGCCGGTGCACGTTCCTAAGTATTAGAAAGATATACATGTTGTTGATGGAGTCTTAAAAGCTTTTAAATTGCAAAAGGAACTTATCGATCGATAAATTGGCCTCTACAGGTGTATAAAATGAAGTAAACGCGAATAAACTATAATTAAAATAAAACAAACATGGTTAAGATATACCAAGAATTGACCTAACCAAATTGAAATTGTAACCGACCTTTATGAACAACGCCCTGTATATAATAACAGTAAAATGCGGTGCCCAGATGACGACGTGAAACAGTGAGAGAGCATGTACCTAAAATTGGCAGCCATAATTGGAAACCTAATTTGAAATTTTGGAGTGGGCATTTGAAAAAAGGTGATTGATACAAGATTAGTATTGATTTGCTGTCGACTTAATTGCTACAATATGCATATGATCAGCGGGTTAAATTGGCGATAAACCTCAGACAGGCATTTCGATTCCTCGGAAGTCGGTTTGCAGCGTCGGTTGCAGAGTAGAAAAATTTAGTGATTTTCAAGACTGACAAAATTAATAAAGAGATATATATAGTAATAAATACAGAGTAAAATATGATATTAAAGCTGTTCTTTTTTTTTAGCATAGCTTTACCATTTTATTTATCAAACATTCAACTACTATAGTTCGCTTGCCTAATCTAGTGGGCGTTCATTTTACAAAGTATATCGCAAAATTGGGAGCACGGAAACTATGGAAACAACGAATCCGTCAACGACGATACTGAACACAACATTTTCAAATTCTAGCAATGTTACTAACCCTCATGTAGCTAGCCACAAGAACTGGCTTCGACATATTTTTCTGACGGATGTGACGCTAGCAATCGTATTGTATATTACAGTCAGACTATCTATGGATGTGCATCAAGCTCGTAAAAGTACCGTCAAAGAGCTATCAGGAAAACGATATCGGTACCTCATGAAAGTTACTACTCTTTTACTCAGCATATCAGTAGCTCTGCATCTTGCTGACGGAATTTTCGAGGAGGTGATTGTCGACTATTATTTGCCGGATATGTGTGGCTTTAGCAAATGTGTTAAAGCGATAACGGGGAGCTTAGCATTTATGTTTTCTTATTTGGTGATGTGGCTTCGACAGAGATCGATATACAGCGACGCAGCCATCAGACACCTGACAACGCCAATCTTCCGAGCACTCAGCTTTGTGGTGGTATTCCTACTAGTAGCATCGCCTGTTACAAACACCATCATCTATATCGCAAGCTTTTCCTTCGAAGTGGTAGCTACAGGATGCGCCATAGTTGGGTCTTCAATCAACCCTGAAACACCATGGATAATCATTGGCGTGACGTCTGCAGTAATGCAAATTATACTCCTTGGTCTTTTCCTGCAACCACTTCTGAGGCACCAATTTAATATGAACGGAATGCCGGCGGGAAACTTCAACCTTAAACCCCTTATAATGAGAGCATTCATTACAGCACTGATTTGCACCATCACTGATACTGGAACCGCTATTCTTGCCGCCTCATCAGTTTTCAATGATGGCGTCACAATAGGTGTAGCAATGCAGATCAGCACTCTCCTAAATTTGCTGATGGTGATTCTCTCGTTTCCTGATTGGAAGAAAACGGTGTTCCCACGGTGCTGCTGCCGAAGTGAGTACTCGACGCCAGAAGAGAGTGTACCACCGACTTCGGCGTCTGAAAGTGCTACTGCAACACATTGCACGAATTCAATTTAACTTGGTGTGTACTAACTAACATATATCACGCTAGACTAACTCATTAATATAGTCGCTACCTAGTTCATAATTATTCACCCAGTTTAGCTGAAGATACTACGTATGCTTTAACATATCCTACTCTATATACATTCTATATATATGACATGGAAAGCCGAACAATAACAACAATTTTATTTGGTCAATAGTGAGCGAATGTCACAGACCAAAGTGAAATAGATGTATTATTTGTAAATTTTATATATTTCATATTCGATTATAAGTTGAATTTTTGCTCTTGAATGCTTTATATCTTGCAGTCTACGAGTAGATGCATATTCTTGCAAAGATTAACACGTTATAATGAATTAATGAATCAGCTGCTTTTTATGCACGTGCGTGATTCACTAGGTATAAATGACTAACCGACAGTTGCTCAATTTACTCATAATTTACTACTATGAACATTGATTATTTAACCCAAAAAATAAAGGGGAGAGTTAATTACGACACGTACTAATAGTTTAATTGGCGGTATTATAATACATCATATAATTTATAACAATTCGAAAATGAGCGTAGCGACAAATTTAACTCCTCCAGTATGCGCTTGAAATAAGTGATTGTAACTCCAAAGTATTCCACCGTAACCATTAGATTACCGTTACATTATCAATAAATTGTCTTTGCGTAAAAAATTTTATGACAATTATGTTCAATATGATGAACAGTCTTGTCTTATTATTTTGTTGATTGATGAATACGTTTCAGATCGGAATTGTAAGAGGTCCAAACCTTAACTGGCCCGAAACACCTGTCGATACATGCCATGATTGCTACTTCCGAATAAATGATATATATACTAATGTTTCTGAGATTCAAATAGATACAAACTTTGAAAACAATGAGCAATTGTTACATTTCCACCTTTAAAAATACACAATTTAATAATTTTCAAAATTTTTAATTGCACGTAAATTACTTTTAATTTGTATATTCATCCGAATAACCAACAATTTAGCGTAAAAATTCATATGTTCACCTCATATCAAAAAGCATTTTACAGTAGCAAAGTTTAATTAAATCGATTGTCCGGTAAATACATTTACCTGCAACGATTTTTTATAAGAATTCCGCCATAATATCTCATGCCATGATATTAATTGAACGATAGATAGATTAGTGAGGCAAGATTAATGGTAGTAATTTTGGTCACTGAGTTATCGTCCAATTCTTCAACAGTGCCAAGTGAAACTAAACATAAAATCTCGATTCATTCGAAGCCATGAAGTGGATCCAAAAATTTTAAATAACTCGTGCATTGAAAGCGGCTTTATCGTTGCGTGTGAATTATACCTGAGTTTTATTGTGTTTGATGCAATTTGTGTATGCTTCTTTAAAATAAATCCCGAATCTTGCGCAGAAGCACAATATACTGAATTGCGCTGTGATACCCTTTCCCAAAGAAATCTTCTACCGTGGTGCGATTGTGTTGTTCTATATCTATTCAATTAATGTAGCTATTGTAGTTAAATATCTTAAACTGTATTTCATTATCATCATCATATTATGTTCTTTTTCATTTCTACCTGATTCCTAAGTATTATTTCATGTCTAATATTTTTCTCAGCAGAATGCCCCACTAGTTTGATAATGATATTTTTTTATTACAGGACAAAAAATGCATCGCGAATACCCTTGCTCTGATGATGAAAAAAATCATTTTCAAAACTCTACACCATTGAATGATAATGAACAAAAACTTTTGACTGAGTTATAACACATACTAAAGTTTTATTCATTATATTATTGTTTGTTATTCCCTATAAAAATCATAATAATCGAGTTTATATCATTGATCTCAATCGATGATGAATAGTTGTATTTTTGTTTGTTTTTCATAATTTTTCGTTGTTATTATTACTTTTCACTTTTTCAAATTCAATTTCAATAACGTAGTAAAAAGAAATCAATAATATTATAAATTCACATATTTTTGTATGGACACTAGTTCATACATATAAACCGAATGAATCAACTCAAATCCGAATTTTAGAAGAAAATGATTTGAGAGAAAAATATAAAAAATTATTGAACTCAATTTATCATATTCTGTCTAATTGTCTAATTATGCAGACAAATTATTGGATTTGTTGTAACGCATGTCCAATTTACAGATACAGATGAATCAGTAGTTTCAATCAATTACATTGATTGTTACCTATTTAAATCTTTAAATAAATTACCAACCAAATGAAGTATAGCATATAAATAGATACGTTTCCCGTTTCCGCTAGCAATTGGTTACCCACTATTTGAATGATCAATTCGAAAGATAACATGAATACAATATGTTTCCAACTGTGTTAAATTTTGGTATCAAAATTTTGCACAACATGTGATATTCTGTATAATTTTGACAATTGTTTTCCTTTCATGCTATTTTGTCTATTTGAAGTCACCACGACATTTATTTTCGCTTTTCAATTTTCAAGCCGAATATTCGACTCATATTTATTTTGACTTAGTAGATATGACGAATAACAACTTGTGTGTACACGAAACACTTAGTGTCAATGATGCATATTATCCTCCAATGTGAATGGCAGATAGATAGTCACCTCAAACCCTAAACAGTCCGAATTTCAAGCCAGTTAATTTCGTTGTTTAAATTTTGATTTATCTTGTTTTAATTATTTTTTCTTTGTAGACGCAATTTATCATAGAATAATTTTATTTCCCTACACAATTCGCAGTTAAAATATAGAAAATAAAAATGTGTATCCCTATTGTAAAAACCTAAGTTATATCACGCGGCATACGCCAAACATATAGTGTTTATATGCGCTATATCGAGAGTGTGCCGCGGGACAAACCACATCTACCTATAGGTAGAGATTCTGATTGTATAAGTAACCCTTTATCACTGTCACAAATATATATTTACATATTTTCCTCAATGTCGAGATTTAATGTACGTGATTCTTCTTTTAATTTTGTAATAAAGTTGGTCAGTGAACATTTATTTTACTTGAAAAGCTTCAAACTAATAACCAAGATCACCTAATATTACTGGTAATCAAAAATGTGCAGGTTTTGAAATTTTCCCTTGTATTTTGACAATGAGCCAAGACAATAATATGTTTAAAACAGCCAGCTTAACAAAACATTCATAAAACAGCATGCTTATTGGAACGATTCGTTCAAGCATTGCCCGCCATGGGTGATAAATAGGTCAGATTGTAATGTTAAATCAACGGTTCTCAACCTTTTGACCTACCGGACTGGTAACATTAATAAATAAAATGTACTCATTGACCAGTAACAGAGTATTGTGAACAGGGATGGCCAATTCGAATTAAGTATTCGAATGTATTCGAATATCTCGTCATTCGAATATCGGAATTCACGTTCATAAGAATATCGGATATTTGTGTGACGTCACACATTTTCGACGCATCTTTCAAGACGTTTCCGTTGAATGAAAACATTCTCGATAGAAACTTGCGCGTGATTGTTTTCATCACTCATCAGCGTAACGTGTTATTTAGGCCCGTAAACGCCTTTACGATTGTGTTATTTTCTCTAACACGAAAATTTTCCACAAATTTGTTCCACGATAACGACAACATTTATTTTATTTTTGTAGGCGCTCGGAATTGTGAATCTGGTAAATACGTTCATCGGCGGCGAGTTTCTAAAGACAACGCAACTTTTTGATTGAAAATCGGCAATTTAAAATACTGAAAATAAAACCGTAAACAATATAAGTTTTATTGAGGCCCGCAAAAATTTAAAAAACGCTTTTCTAGGCAGTGAAAATTGCAAAATTTCGTGTGCCTCTGGCACACATTATGTTTGGTCGGCGTTTAGAAACATATCGTCACTAATTGAGGGCGGGATTTGCCTGATTATCCATTAACTCAAATTGCCGTCGAATATTTTCGTGTTAACACGATACAAAGTTTGAAACGCGACTTTTTCCCGGGTTGTGAGGATGTATATAATATAATTAATCTAAAGTATATTCAATCAATTTTATTTTGATGAAATAAATTTTACTCTGAGATATTACAGCATATTTATGGATTTTTCGAACGGTTTTATCTAAAAATATTCAGAGTGGCAGCATTTCGATCGAGCGAAGTCACTGTTAACAAGTATATCTAAATATTTGCCGAATTCGCAAAATACGGATCAAAACAATATTTAATCGGGCAGTTTACCTCGCGTTTTTATTTTTATGACCGCGGATTGCAATGGTATATAATAAGACTGGTGAGGATTTTATTTTGTCGACGCAACCGCAGGTTAAATTGAAGACAATTAAATTAATAAAGCAAGACATTTTAAATATGCCCGTGTCGGTCACGAATTCATCACTTTGCACAACAGAAAAATATATATTCGTTGTTATATTATTTGTTGTAAAAGTCGACTCTTTTAACGGGTGGCATAATCGAGGCGATGAATATGAATTTTTAATTTACTGCTAAACTTTATATGTATATTCATTGTATGAAATGAATTATACTCTACACTTAACAGAATTTTATATAATTATTTGAGATTTTTCTTACGGCGATAACGAGTTGGCAAGATTGCAAAAACACGTATTAAAATTAAATACATCAGGCAGTTTATCTCGTAATTTTAGGTCACAGATCGCCGTGGACCGAATAGTAATGTTTTTTTTGACGTAAGAAGAAGCAACCGCGAGTTACGTTGGACACATTAAATTAATATATAAAGATATTTTAGAATCTCGTAGTTGTCATGGATTGAATATTTTACGTAACAGGATGATCATTATACGCTGAAAAGACGGCTCTTTTAACGAGCGCGTTACAGGCGGCAATGGGAATTTCCGATTTCGAAAATCCTGGCTGCGCGGCAGGCAGTGGTGGTCATCTATTCTCTACTAATTTATTTCTAATTCCAAACACAACAATATGTTACACATAATAACAATATGTTTCACATAAATTAATATACGAATATACTGGTATAGGTAGTAAATACTCTAGGCTTAAATATTGGAATTTTTAAAGGCATAATGGATTTTTGATTGTTGTTGCCTGTATTGCAAATAAATTTTATTACTCTCAGAAAATATACACAATTATCTGAATACAAGTAGTATTTTTGTCAATAGACTTGACTATTATCGTAATATCATGGTACCACTGATAGAAAGCGTCAGTCAACTTCTTGGCTATCTTTTCATATGGTCATTTGTACAAATGAATAATTTTAATAAACTGACTGTGTCACAAGTTGCTATTATTTTTTATTGATAGCTATAAACTTTGTGTACATATACTGTTGGTTTGTGGCTTTATTCTGATATTTCTATTGAAGCTTATTTCCTAATTTACTGGGTTTTAATCAACTAAAACAAAAATGTGTTATTTTCGATTTTAGAATGTATTCGGAATTCCAGATTCGAAAACATTATTTTAGAATGTATTCGGAATAGTTTAGTATTCGGAAATGGCCATCCCTGATTGTGAACGACCCTGCTGCGATGAAACTACCTTGCGAAAATTAATATGCGATCGAATAAATTTGTTTGTATAACTTTGAAAAACTCTATCACTTCAACCTTAAAAACAAAGTATGCTAAAGCATAAATGAACCGAACAGTATTAACCGTAATAATGCCTTCATTTTATGAGGAAAATGTCAATATGTCAATTTTTCTTACTCAAAACATCTCTCTGATATCTCGGCTAAACATCCCGGGTAAAATCTTATGACTTTGGTGGATATACAAACGTGGCGATGATTGTACGCAATAGAAGTAAAAGTCAAAATAAAAAATTGTACTCACATTTTTGAAATTATAATTCTAGATAATAAATACAGAAAACAAAGAAAAAAATTGATTTTAAACAAGCCTTTGTTTTAAAACACGATGTTTTTTTAGAATTGATAAAAAAACAAAACCCTAATTGTCATTTCTTAGTATTCGCTAGTGTAGTGGTAGTGGAGATGTCCCCCGCTGCGAGAAAACAGTTTATTGGAGACTCGGGCATGATACCATCCTTACTTCTAACTCACGCATGTTTGACAAGAACAAATCGAATCAACTAAAAAAACACTTTATTTCGTGATGTTCGCCGTAAATCACGGAATAGGTTTTGGGAAATCGATTTTTCTAAGAATTTTTGCGACGAGACGAATAAATTTAATTTAAAATATGCCTACAGTAGTCTATATGCTTTACCGTACTTGTGTATAACCGTAATCTTTTTAAAATTGATGTAAACTTTGAGTTGTGGTAATAACGCAAATAATCGGTTATCGTATACTATATACATTGTTATGATAGTCCTAGGGTGGTTACAACCGCATTCCAGTTTGTAATAAATTAGTATGCTTAAAATTACAACACGCCATCCGATTTTGACCAAATTTAAGAAAGCAGATGAATAACATAACACAAACGTTTATTTACAAATAAAGAAAATTTCGAGAGAACACTGCAAATACGATTTGTTTATAAATCATTGTCAAATAAAAGTATTTTTATTTTAAAATTGGATACATAGCAGCCGTAGCAATTCCACAATTGTTCCCCCTGTTTCGACTCATTCGAACGTATCCAGAAGCTCCCCAATCTGTGCCCCAGCTGCAAAAAAAAATGCAATTACAGCTAACCCGGTAGGTTTATGCTGCATGAGTGAAATTATCAATGTAAAGTATCATTTAAAGCGTGTTAAATGACAGATCCGCTTCAACATATAGTGGACATAACCATCAATTCTAAATACTTCGATTTCGATATACCCCGGGTTCCAAAATGATTTCCATATATACTTATTCAAATATAACAAAGCCAGTATTTAAATCAACTATCAAAATCCCGAATATGCATTTGCAACACGTGTAGTCAATATCGCAATCGATAAATTTTATATTGTCACATATAACAAGACAAAGATGTATGACAAAAAAATGTCAAATACGGCTTTACGTTGTCGCTTAATAAATTTGTACTTCAAAATTTTGAGCGCAAAAATATAGATTTAAAAGTTTCGTTGCTGTCATTCTGTATATGAAGATGTATATGGTTTCACAGATTTGTAGTTTAAGACAGTGGCATGTGGCTGTGAATTATGCATGTGAATGTAGGTTACAACTAAGAATAATTTAATTTTCTCTACGAACTAATATCACGTTTTATTTTCAAATTTTCCCTTCATCAAATTTCGCCCGGAAGACCATGAAATTGAACTTATGCTAAAATTATTTGTCGGAATATGGAAACACAATTTCGATCGATTTTTTCCAAAAGCGACATAGAATATGGCGTCGTTTTCTATATTCTAAAAAGAGGAAAATTCCAAATTTTTTTTAGCATATTACAGAATTGTTTGGTACGTCGTGAAGGAAGTGACAACTTGGCCTGCGATACAATGCTTAAATATTAACACATGTCATGGAATAAAATATAAAGATAACACATATAACTAGTAGCTAACTTTTTTAAATAAACAAGAAGACGTAAACTAGATTCAAAAAATCTGAAAATACCCAATCAATTAAATGGCGTTTATCATCTCTGTCTGCATTAGATCTGTTCGATCTGCATTAGATATAACTAGTAGCTAACTTTTTTTAAATAAACAAGAAGACGTAAACTAGATCCAAAAAATCTGAAAATACCCATTCAATTAAATGGCGTTTATCATCTCTGTCTGCATTAGATCTGTTTGATAAAATTAATGGCTTAGTATCATGTTTTGCGTAAAATCGCTTTTTTTTCATACTCGAGTAAGAACTCGACCCCAAAAATTAGGTTTTGTTGAGAGATACACATAAAATTCTTTATTTGCATATACATAAGTTTAAAAAGCCTTATATTGGCTGCCAGATTTACATGCAACTCGTGAATCCATAAAATGAATACCCCATACCATTCATGGAAACAAAAGGTACCGAGTAGCCCACATTTCAATTTTTTTATCACAACTACTTTTGCGCATAGCGAACCGCATTCTAAGTTTTAATTCCAAGTTGCATTCAATATTTTCAAATTAGTCAAATCAGGGTATCGTGCATACATGAGTCCTCAAACAAATGTTCCGAAATCCTACAACGAGGTGCAGCCCGATTGGTCATGCTATGGATTCCGTCGTTCTACATTGCTGAATCGATCGATTTTTACTAGTTAAAAATTTAATATTCTTCGATTTTTATAGAAAATGTATCTAACAGTATTGCACAATATATCTATAATAAAGAGGTATTATAGATTCTATAATATAGAATATTAAATACAACAAAATTGTCATCTCCTTAAAACACAAATAATCATTTGTCCGATTAACTTTATTTTTAGGTTTGAATCACACTTGGTAAATGACCATCCCATAATTCAATTATGCACAGATTAGGGTCAAAACTGGACACGGAACAGCACATTACAAAATAACGAGATAGAAAATCGATTTATCCGTGACATAACGTGACAAATTCTTTGTCATTTCTTATGCAATTTCGCGGAAGTTGCTGGATTTTCATATTTGAACAATACGTTTGTATGATATAAATTGTATTAATGAATTCATTTCATAAATACCTCATTGAAGAAAAATGAGATTTTGCAATTTTTGGCAATGAAAACTATCATACGCTTCGACGGGAATTCCAGTGCAATAAATTTTTTGTGATAAATGATAGTGAACTGATCAGTTTGTCTTCGTAAATCACTCAATGACACGATTTCATGTTCCTTTTTGTCACCTTGCTTCGCGATAAATTGATCGGTGGCACAACGCCAGGCGTGACACAAATTTGGCGAGGTCAAGCTATTTATTATATTTTCTTGGATTTGGAACATCTAATCCTTACGATATAAGAAATGGGAAGGAAATTTAAAATACACCTTTTATATACAGAGTATATATCTATATGCGTATATCCGTTCGTTATGTATTACAAATGTCAAAGTATCCAAAATCCAATCAATATAATTCTATGAAACAATCCGGAAGAAATCATATATTATTAGAATTTGCATGTTTAATTCATCCCCTGATCTGATCGCAATGTTATTTACGTTGGAATACAAACGAAGATGGCTATTTTACAAACGATTTCTTGAAATAAAGCGGAGGTGGTGGAAATATTAGAACGGCCAATCTTTACAAGTTGTAACGTTTATCAGCGTTGGCTTTCTTCTTAAAATATATAAAATATTATTCTGTACTGGTATACCAAATTAAATATGGTACGATATGATCCCCAAAATCATTAATTTATTTGGGGTAAATGATTTCGGAAAACTGAACTGTGAACAAATAGGTAAACTAATGAACATACATGAATATTCACGCTAAAGACCTTGGGATTGTGACATACACATTTGGTCAGGTCATGTCAACGCGACTTGATGCGATATAGAACTTATTAAAGGATTCAGCCATATAATATGAAATTTCAATTTCACAATAAACAGGTTTATTTAGGAGTATCGAGCTAGGTTATCTACATTATTAATTAAAGGTTCAAAATGCGAAGAATTTTTAATCGAAATCTATACCGAATATATTATTGGCCGCAATCTTTATGTGAATTCTTTAATTACAAATCGTTTTTTTTTACGCCTGAAACGTATTGCATAATATAGTTTACCTGTTTTTCACAATCCAGTAATCTCCTTTCTTGTTAGTGCCATATCCAACAACCAGAACAGCATGATTTAATCTCCTCCTGCTGCACCTTGGTTCGTAATATATATCTGAAAACATAATTCGAGCATATAACTCTGAACGATTACAAGATTAGTGGGTTGTCATGATCCCAAGTTTTTTTTCGTAATGAACCGAAGACTATGAATGTGAGTAAGCCAATGCATAACCTAGATTAACACAACAAATGTCCATGCCTCTGCAGTCATCCACACATACGAGATATCCAAGTTGAAAAAGAGATGGTATAATCTGTTTTTTACTATTTCGTGAAGTGGAAAATGAGATATGGCTTTGATTTTGATTTATTATTGCTCATCCCCGAGATTTCTATCGTACAATGGCAACGTAGCCAAAGAAGATAATGAACAAGTCATGCGCACGTTAGTCAAGCTAATGCTTCACTGATTCACTCATTATTATTAAAAATGAGTAAATAAATAATTTACTCATAAATAAATTGTGAGTAAATACATCATGAAATATTATTTTTATGATGTCTCCTTTACCCCATATTAGATAAAAGACTCAAAAATAAATATACAATAACTGACGCATTGTTCCTAATGCAACGAAATTTGCCAAAAACGAGGCCGATCAGCTCCGCCCTACTATTTGGGTAATGTACCACAATAAAACTATTTTCCTTTTGAGTTTTTTGCAAGCCCATACGCTTATTGTATATAGCTTTCTTACCATTATGATTGCTATACATAGGAAAATCAAATCTGGCATCTATTCCAGCCGCAATAGGGCCTATTGTCGCAACAGCTCGTTTCAAGTCTTCTTCGGTGGAAGGAACTCGACGAAATCCTTGTAATTTTGCTTTCAATATTCTGTATCTGTATTTACAATGACTATCGCAGAGAAACTGAAATAACATGGAACGATTAGTACAATACAAAGCTTGCAACTCAGGGCAAACAAAGTGGTAATTATTGCAGACGAAGTTGTAGTATTTTACTTAGCTTTAATTAAAGAATTTTCAATAATACATTATGCATTCAATGACAATTTGTGCACCCCTTGACAGTAGTAACGGTCTACAGATGATAAGATGGATCATTGTGTCAGATACCTTAAACTTTTCCATTTACTTAGCCTGGTCAACAGATTATCATATGCAGTACTTTTTAATACCTTTTGCATGTATTTTCCCGTAAGATATAGGGGTAAAAAAATGTTTACGACTACTATTCTTATGTGGTCTATACCAAGGTTATACGTAAGACTTTGTGTAACACTGACCCTATTTATTTTCGGTATAAAAGTTTTCTTTGGGTCCTTCACGAGGCATTGCATGCAATCCAAGCATGATGTATAAGGGTAATCAACATCACTCATTATTCCACCTTGCCGTTTAATATATTTAAATATTTCGTCGATATATCCTCCACAATTACCGAGATCACAATCTAATATTTGTTGTATGCTGAGCCCCGTCAGTTTTCCAATTTTTTTGCACAATTGACCTTCGATAGCACCAACCTGAATAGTGAATAAAAATGTGCTTATTTGCTAGAATCTGGTTTTATGGTCGAGATATTTTGGGATGAGATTTGAAGAAATGTATCTAAGTTAGAGACATCAAACCTTAAAATTGTACTTCCAAGGCGGCGATGCATTTATTCTCTGTTTATCAGCAGCAAAATAGGAAATATTGAACAAAAGAGATAAATATTGTGACGACACTGGAATTTGGTTCATTTTATTGTTTTATTTGTTTAAATTATCTTCGAGTCGTGTACAGGGGTGTGTAGTGTGAGAGCCATGATTGTGACTAAAATATTTTCCAATGAAGATGATTTGACTATTCTTTGCTGACTCCGAACATATCTCTCCACGTGACACCGGTTCAGCATGCCGTCCGCTCCTCGTTGTCTTACTGCTATTGAGGTCGGACTTGTTTTCGTTGCTCTGTATTTTATCTGTTCGAATCGTGAATTTCTTATCGATAATAAATTAGACCGATTTGCGCCGTGAGGCTATCGAACTAATAGTGTGACTTTGCAGCACAAGGAATCTTCTGGGGCTTCACAGACTGTTGTACTGCAGCAATGTTGCATGAGCAGCTTGATATTCTAAAATGAGTAGTCTACCACCGGGACGGTTAATCCTGGCTCACTAAACGAAATACAAATGGCTGTAGATAGTGGATACCAGTCAGACTATCACGACTGGAAAATATTTCCCAAGTGTAACTAGTGGGTTATCCGGCATGCAATGCGAGTGATCCCAGTGTGCAAGATTTGCCATTCTGGTATCGACAGTCTAATCTAGATGAATTTTGCACGACAGCTAAAAATCACGATGTTTGGAAAACTGCGAAGTCGAGCTGATATTTGAATGTAAAAAAAAAGAATTCATGCTTAACCTCGTCGATCAAAAGAAATGAACTTGTTGAACTGATTTTTAAGCCAAATTATTAAGCAACTGAACAGTCTGCTGGAGTGCCGGTACGGTAATCTACTGGCCTTTTAGCGTAGCCTACCATGACAGCAGTATGACTGTATTTGCAGATTTGTATGATAAAATAGTCGTGCAACAATAACACTGACCAAATAATATATATTAGGGTTTAGGTTTTCATTACAGTATTATGATTGATTGAACGAACTGGGTTGGCACTTGGCACAGCATGCTAAGCGTTAGTAATATGCTAGCCATGTGACCTCTAGTCACCACAGGTTCGAATATCGTGAGGGACAATTATGTGCGAAAGGATTGCTGGACAACTAATTTTGTCATCCTTCACACCAAACTGAAAACGCCCTCAATGGATTCTCGAAAATCTCTTTTTGCCCAAGGATTTCGCTAAAATTCTGGTAATGTCATCAACTCTTCTACACTTGATGATCGTGCAGTTACACGTCGAGATATGAAGAAGTTCAATGATATTCTTCCATGTTTTATATGATTTTCTTGAGTGCTTCTAGTCATCTGTAGCTCGTCGTATTATTTTCAAAATTGATTTAGAAGCTGTGGTCATATTTGGCCATTATCCAACCACGGCGGTGGTGAAAATTAGGCGATAAAGAAATGAATGCTCGTAAATAGAACACTTTTAGCCACGCTTTACAAAAAGTCGTGCGCACTTGACATTTTGAAAAATGAAAAGCTCCATTTTCGAACGATCGAGTAATCTGAATGTGACGTGTGCTGCCTGCGTTTTTATCGATGAAATTCTTGAATTTTATGCGAAATTATTTATGGCGAAAAACGTCTAGAATGAAGGAAATGGTAAATGACAAAAGTTTGGAAAATCTAGTATCAGCATGCGTTAATTTCAAACAATGCGAAAAGCCGAAAATACAGAAAGCATGGAAGTTGATGCTGTATTGGCAAAGTAACCTGTTTTTCATTGAGCACGTATTTCGATAATATAAAGCTATAGACATAACTAGGCCACTTATGCGTGCTTTCTGTCTTTTTGAAAGATGTTTCTGACGAGAGGCTCAGAAATATAAATGTACCAGACAACCTCATGAATGAAATGGAAAAAAAAAACAGGTTTAGAAGTGACACAACTTCTATTTCTGCAAAAAAACGATTTATATATATAAACCCATATCTAAAAGCTCCAGAAAATATAGCTATGGCTGGACCAAACGGACTTCTGCTCTGCTGTTTTGGGCACATTTGTTCGTTATATATTGGTGGTTATGAGAACAATACACCAAACAATGTTGTTTGAATTTTGAGTTGTACCTGAAACTCGCTTAAGCAAACTTAATGTTTGTTATACTCTGTATAATGTGGGTCGATACAACATACAAGTGCTGTGGAGAGATTATCCCGCGACACAAATTTCAACTCATAGTCCCATTTTTAAAAGAAAGTTGACAGTGTATTTAGTGCACTGTTGTAGATTTGATGTATGTTAAAGCGTGTCATGATGATCAAGACAATCAACAAAATAAGCAAGGATCAAAATGAAAAAAATCATCCCTCAAGAGCAGGGCAAGGTTTTTAGACTAGGGGCACAACATTTTGCCCACCTAGATCGACGGGACATGTAGAGAAAAGTGGACCACAGTGGGACATGGGGCACAGTGGAAATCACACTTGCTCTATATCCGGTTTGCGGTTTGATATTTAATCTGTCTTTAGGTGAGTTACAACGTCCCCGCAAACGGGCAACGGCCGTGCAGAGCGACGCAAGCCATGAGGTGAAATTGGTTTTGGGGGGTTGGAACTAAAATTTCAGCTTTAGTCCGCTGTAAAATATTCATAACTTTGGCGTGCATGTGTCTTCCTAATCTCGCCGTGAAATAGTCTAAAAATATTTGTTTTTTGATGGCAACAATGGACCGGGGTTCAGTGGAACATGCCCCACTGGGCACAATTCGACAGTGTTTGATCCATTAAATGCGTGGAGGCCCAGAGATGCGTTATGTTTTGGGTAATATTAGTGTCTCTTTTGGCCCATATGAAATATATTCGAGAATCAAAATATTTTTTCAGATACAGATTTGAAAAAGAAAATAATTCAATTTTCTCACAGATTTTCTTTGGAAAAATATGTGTAATATTTTAGTAGAACATTGATTTCCAAAATATTAAATCGCCAAATATGAATTTCTCGCGTTCTTTAGATTATAATGCTGATTCTTTGCTCATTTTAGGGTATACATCGTTGTATTTAACAGAATGTCTCATTGTGCCCCTGGGTCTGTCCGAATGAACGTGCACGTGCAGAATGAACGGCTAAAAGTATGCAAAAGAAAAAAAAGTGTCTCCACCTTCCCCGCTTTCCCCTAAGTGTGACGTATAAAGTTGCATTTAATTAATGAACAATATTTACATGGTTGCAAAAGTGAAAATCAATAGGCCTCGTATCAAAACTAACTTTAATCGCAATTTCAAAAAACTCCCTTGATTCTTTTTTTTAAGCTAAAACATCAAAATTTGGTTTTAGTTTGGTTGTGGGAGAATCAGGCGGGCCATATCAAATTACTCAACGGGCCGGATTTGACTCGAGGGCCGTAGTTTTCCCATGTCAGCTTGAGAGAGTGACAAAATTTTCATATTCACTGGATTGCTGGAAATATCCCAGGAAGTAGATTTGGTAGTTACTGTTGATGTAGTTTAACTTTTACTGGGATAAAAATGTGACTTCCTAAGGAGTTCTTAAACTCATGTCTTTGAATTATTATTATTAAGTGATAAAAATATTTTTAGGCAGAAATAAATTCATGGAAAGAATATTTTTATACCATTCCAAATCTAATGTACCCCTTGAAAGTCGAAATGTTCCCTTGTTTAAAAACCCCTGCTTGAGGAAAAACGGCATGCATAGTTCGCAAAGTGTGTTGTAATAGGCAAGTTCACATCAACTTGCTGGTGATGAAAGGTGTCATCCTAGTTACGTTATGCAAACACAAGATTCTCTATTTGGGGTCGAATTAAAATTAATGACCGGATAGTTACAAAATAAATCATCAAATAAGATTTGCCATTGTCCGAAAGTTTTGGTGTACAAAATGCTGTGGCTTCTTTATTATTCTGACAAAGGTTAGTTTTTCGTTAGGCTTGTGTTAAAAAGATTATCTGGCAATGGATGGTATTAACAGACTAGGAAGCAAAGACACCAATCGATCTCAAGCAAGTAGACCTACTTCTTCTTGAAGTCATGAAATAATCGTATAAAATTTATAAACAATAAAATCGTATGGCAATTGATTATGATCTTGTTTAAGACAAATATAGTACTATATTCAAATGTACAGAGTAAGCTTTGGACATCAGATTAGTGGCGAATGCTATGTGCAAAATGTTTTGTCGCAACAGAACCAACTCGCCAGCCTTGTATAATAAAAGATATATAATATACATAGTATAAATCAACCAAATATTAATTAAAACTTACGGCGCTGAAAGCAAAACAGGATCCTGGCCCGCCTTGGTTTTTCACAGACGAAACGCAACTACCGTTTCTCCTTCTCCAATCGACATTACGTGGTAATCGTTTTTCAACCTTTTTTGACTTTTGCAATTTTGCCGAGAATAAATATGTCCGAGTGAATTTTGACCGGAGTTCAGTGTAACCCTAAATGAAAGAATAGGAATTTTCGTGAGAGATATTGAAATTCAATTGTTTACCCAATTAATACAACAATACAAAGAATCACATTCATCAATCCGAAAGAAACAAAATATTATGAGCAGCCAGTGTCCATTAAACAAAGTAAAACGCATATGAATATACTTTCGTGTTTTTTTCCCTATTTACTTAGAAATGAGTGAATTATTTGCAATTAAATAAAACTTACGAAGTCTGAAAACTTGTTCAATTCAACTCTGAAAGTTACGTTTCCAGCCGTATATCTAGAGTTATGGTCAGCAATATGTTCCAGCGATCTTTCCCACATTTGTTTTCTGAAGAAATCTTCCGCTCTTGTATAGGATTTGTCTGGAATTAAACGTAATTTTTCTGAGGTTTGAATTAGGTCAAATTTGGTAAGATGTCAAACACTAAAAGGAAATCAAGATAGAGTATATATATTATATTTGCCTGCATAGAAATCCAAAAATTTTAAGTAAACATAGTAAAGCCCAATGACACTAGCGATTATTGTTACTAACGCCGGTAGGTCTTTTAAATTTCGCGATCTTCATGATAGTGCTTCTGAATGGTTTTGTATATTCAAATACTAATATTTTAAAACATAATTTGGGGTGAATCAATAAACATATGTATTAGCTTCATGTATCTGGAACGTGAAAAGTCCAAAAAATATTTTCCTGTCCGACCAGCACTGGGCGAAAACCTGCAAAAATATGTATTTTTTTTAACTACATAAGACATCTTCTGGTAGAATGGATATAAAGCTACCGGTGTTTAAATATAAAACTGTTATTTTACTAAAACCTTTACTCAAAGAGCACATTCTTTCAAAACAAGTTTTAATTCGTTTAACGTATTCACGTCGCTGGCTGTCTAAATTTAGAGATGACTAGTGACGATGTCTTGAAAACAATACCGTACGCATGTGATAACTGCAAACATCAATGACAAAGCTTCGTTAACAGAATTATCCGCAATTATGGTATATGAGATTGAATACCAACTCGATTACCACCTATTTCGAAACGTTTTTTGTATTTGTCTCATTGTAGACGTGAATAACTAATTAACAAAATCAGAGGCGTATTTGCAGAATCACCACAAATAGTGGATTAAAATATATGTCTAGATTAGAAGCATGCTTGACTGCTCGGTGCTACTATCGGAAAGTCGTGGGTTTGAATCCTACTCTCTGCAGTTCTTGCTTAGGGGCGGACATATATTGTACGTTATTTCGTCTTATGCTCCACGTCGGCTCTGATGTGCTCACAACTGAGTACTTGTAACACAAAGTACTTGAGCGCCGTCAGCGGTGAAAGACATGCGGTTTACTTTATCGCCGTTCTGAATGCATCAAGACTTAAAAGGCAGACTCAGTCTCAACTCTAAACAATTTTAAGCACTTGTCGTAATCCTATGCTAACCCCTTTTTTGAATGCCCTTGCAAAATATTATACATTCCAAAAACATACTGGTCAAATTTGTGTTCACGCTGTCTCGACGAAGTACAGATTTTGATTCATGTACCACAATTTGACACTGTGAGTTTAGAGTTTACAGTGGCATATTATTGTTCCGTTTTGCTTCACCATCGCGACATTTTCAATCACTGTCATAAGTCAAATTGCGAGGTTTCAAGTGTAAACAATCCGAATTGAACAAAAGCAGGTTAAATATCAATATTTTACCGTAACTTCGCTTCCATTCTCTCCAAAATATGTCTCCTAATGTCGGCGGCAGTGCAAAAATAATTGTTGGTGTGAGTATTATTACAAATACTTTCAAATTCATTCTTCTATACTGCTGATCCGTGTTTAACAATTTTCGTCAATAATATTTAATAGAATTTACATTTGCTAACTAAAAAAATTATAAAATAGCATGGTTGGTGTTGAACTATCTAACATTGCACTTTTGGTATTATCACAAACAAAGTACTTATCATTCTAGCAGAATATAAGTTTGTAAATATTTTCAATATACTAATCCAGTTTAACGTTACATATTAATGCTAGTTTATTTTTGTACGCTTCACGACAAATGCTCTCAGATTTTATGCTGTGATAATGCCGGCTAATAAAACAAAGGGACCAATCATCTGATAAACAACTTAACGATTGAAGTACATTATAGAATTGAATTTCAATAGAGCAACTATTGCGAAAGTTAGCAAAGTTGCACGACATAAAATTACAGTAACCCGTGATTAAACACGCTTGAATTAATTTAGCTTTCTCTTATTTATTTTCATCTTATTTTTAGATTTACAGACTTGTTTAGATTACAAGTAAATGTCGTAGACATCTGCCTGCGAAGGCATCAGTACTATGTAACTAGATGAGCTGTTTTACTAGAAAAAATACTACTTTTTAGGTTTTAATATTGGTACACGTATTATCATTCAAAACGACGTGAGTGCGTTTTCATCAACAAAAAATTTTTGAAGTTTGGCAATATTTTTATCTTAATACAGAGGAGAACATTCTTCATAATCTGAACCTGAAAATCACTCCATAACATAAAAATGATTAATGCGATTCCATCTTTTTTGAAGACAAGAAAAACTTTTCTTTTATACGATTGCCGTTTTCACGTACCCGAACAATATCACTTCATATATTCAGTATACTGCAAACACAATTTTTCAGATATATATACATATTCACGTGCCTTTTTTAGTAATACTGCCTAAATAACAGATGAAACAAAATAAACTGAAGAGGAATGACTGTACTTATTAAATGTGGCTTATTTTCAAACCATCCCGGTTTTAATTTGTCAATAAATGCAAATCCCGAATTGAAATCTTCAAATGACGTCAAAATTAAGTGTTATCGTACTGTTGACATGGAAACGTACAGAAAGTTTCAATTGCCATTTCAAAATAGAATGATATGTCCTCGAGTGTTTATACTAATGCATTCCACGGTTGGGAATTATAGACTACATTTCCTATTTGAAATATTGTAAACAGACCCTTTTTGACGAACACCACACCCTGCTGACAAACAGGATAAACAAGAAACATGACAATAGCTGTTTTCGCTGATTGAATTTTTGAATCAAATTTATTTCTGAGTTTGAGTGACAAAATGTACCTTTTCAAGATATCAAGCAAACAAGAAAACGCTATACGGCGATATTTGTGAATGTTCTACACATCTAAAAATCACCTGGTTTAATCTCGATATCATGAAACTTACGTTCTGTTTACTTCGTTTGTACCTTCATGAAAGCTTCATTGTGCAACGGCACGACACACTATTTAAATACCTATCAAAAAATTACAAATAAAAGAAATGTCGCTATTTTTGCCAGAATCAGTTGTTTATGGTTGCTGACTTGGCAGAATTTAATGACATGAAAGGATTATCAATGTTTATCAAACAAAATGACAAGAAAAATAACCTCAGATGACGTCAAATACGTCTTGTGGTTTACAGCAAGTCGAATCGTTATTTTGATCATGAAATTCTTAGTTAAAATCCATCGCTTACCCAGGATTTCATAACAGATTGTTTTAAATGCTTTCGTCAGTTCCATATGCAAATACTTTTAGATTCATGTTGATAAAAGCAATGCTTTATTTGAGATTTAGCATAAAGTCTTGTTCGCTTTTTACACATGAAAAACACTTTCGAAGTATTTGAATAACAATTTTTGATCGAAATGAATCCCGGGTATCCTGTAAGGCAATTTAGTTGTCTCGTATATTAAATATATTAATAGAAATAATGTCATACGTATATTAATTAAGATTCAGGAATAGAATGGATACCACAAATCAGGGCTACTCAACTATTTTTACCGAAGGTCCGCACACAAAACTTCAAAATTATTTGCGTCCGGTGTTTTCAGAAATTATATTTCGGCAACCCTTAAACGCACACTTCCTCGACCGGCTAATGATTATTAGGTAATTAAGATTGTTTATTATGGCGTTATAGTTCTTTTCATATATATTCAAAGCTATAAAAGTCATTTTTATAAACGGAAACTTAAAGTGAGGCTAATGATCCAAAATAAAGATTGATGTGCGGTCCGAATCAAATAATCGAAAGCGGTCCGCCAGTTGAGTAGCCCTGCCACAAATAGTAGAATGAGAGTCTGATGTATCCATTATTCCATAGTGACACCATGCGGTTCTATGATCTGTGAATTATTAATTCTTTAAAAAGTTGATCCTTTCGGAAATATACATCAAATTTAGGTGCTCCGTAGTATGTGAACCAAGATGGCGGCCACCGGAAAATAGTATGTGTACCAACCAGATTAGGATTAGACCATAATTTCAGGTACAAATACTACGGGAGTACCCACATAAACCCTAACCTGGTAGACATACTACGTTCCGGTGTCCGCCATCCTAGTTTCACATACTACGTGAGTACCCACATTTATATATAATATGTAAACATATACATCAAATACATGCCTTGAAGAATTAGGGTTTACTTAAATTTCTCTGGATTTACGCAATACTGAAAGATAATATATTTATAATGAAGCTTAAATTTGTGTAAGGATTTTGGCGTTTGGATATTAGAATATTGAGATTAGGGAGGTTCAGAACCAGAGGTCACGCCTTGATATACTTGGAAACACAGATTAAACGCGCCCGTTTACAAATTATTGAAAGCATAGAATCCGTCACACAGACAGATCGCTGAGTGTTGACACACACTAAAACCATGTTTCACCAATGAATCACTTAGAAGAAAAAAGTCACATTTCAGAATTGCATTTTAAACTGTGGCTTCAATAAAAAATTAACGAATTCACCCGACCTTTGAGGAACGAAAAATGAACAAGATGGCGTCGATTCAGAATTTCCGTCTAAACAAATTCCAATTATTGAAATGACCAATTTTAATTATGGGTGAATGAGCCTTACTTTCAAGATAAACTTTTATAATATAAAATGAGGAGCATTAAAATATTTTAGCATAACGTTCTACTTCGTTTATTATTCACCGCAGTGAGGAATATAAATATGTATGGGATTTTTTTCAGGTTGTTTTCCTATGGATTAAATGACGGCTAATTAACTACGTAAAGTAAACATTTACTTTGCCGTAACCCACTCTTGTCTGAGATTATTATATAGAAATTATTATAATAATATGATATGACTCGAAATGCAATTACACTGATATTGAAATGAAAATACGTGCACTTATACGCCATCACATACCATAAAGGCCTATTATAGTATACCAATATATGAGTAATCTTTTCGTTTCCCTCTCAAATATCTTATTAAATACTAACTTTAAGTAACTTTGAACAAAATTGTATTTTGAGCAGACTACTTGATTATCAATTCCTAATAGGTACACATTAAAAGCTTGATCAAGATAATGCAATATCGACCTCACAAAAGCTCTCCTCTTGTATATATATAGTTATGTTTCCGAAACAGAATTCATTTGGTCATAACAGACGAAAGTATTTTCCGTGTACATATGATAAGTTATGGATTTTTTTAAATCGCCTTGCTGAATATGTATTAGATAAATATGGTGAATGTTGTTGAATAATATGTGCATATTCCATCTTTAGACATGACTCCCACTTTCGGGCTTGTTGTTGAAAATAAATATAAGGTTATATGAGATAACAATTTGTCATGATATATTGTGTCTTACCGATGGAATAATTGAGTTAACAAAGCTGAGGGAATGCTAATACCATAGACTCATAGAGTTTTGAACTGCTCAGTTTGTGCATCGACTTGCAAATATTAGGCCATTGTTCTCTCAACCTCATTCAATCTTTTTACTTTGAGATATAAATTTTAAGATCTGAATACCAGCCATGAAAAACGTATTTATTCTAATAGCCATTGGAGTTGTGTTTGCTACCATTTACAGTGGTGCTATAGCTGAAGATGACGACGACCAGGGAGAAAATGTAGGAATAAAATTTGGCTCCAAGGATAATCAGAGGAGAATGATCGAGTGAGAAATGTTTATGCAGGACTATTCTTGTGAATGATATTTTTTAGCATATAATCAATAGAAAATTTCAAATATATTGTTGTGTATGTTACTATTATTTATAACATATTGATTATGTTTATTTTTAATTTGCTATATATATATTTGAATCTAAATTCGTCATTTTTAAATAAAATATAATACTATATTGCGTTGAGTGCAAAATATTCTTAATGGTGCGTTGAAACGAAAAACAAAGGTGAACAGGGAAAACGATTATCAATCGGCTTGTGTTTGCTTACAAATATAAGATCGTAAATTATTTTTACAGATTGGATTCGTGGAAAAGAAAGAAGCGTGACATTTTATTTTCGAACAATGCAGGTACCGAAAAACATTCATTTATAAAGTCATAATAGAAGTTGAGTTACTATCGTTAAGTACATACTCTAGCTTGAAGCATGTAATTATTTATGTGAATCCTATAAATCCTGTCAGAGACATTTATGGCGTTTTTTCAAATATGAAAGCATCACGAGGGAAGTATTAACCTCAATATTTACGATTTTCCGACATTCTTTTTTTAACAGATAAGTGTCCGTTCGTTTTGTCATTTCGACGCATATGAAAAATGTCCTTTTTCCATTGATCAAAACAATTCATTTCATTTCAGATGACATTGCTCTTTTTCATTGACTTCATTTGGACAACAATAATAAAGGAATACAACAATCATCGATGCATCGTTTGTTACGTAATTACGTATAATGTTATTATATTTCCGAATTAATAAAAATTAGGAATTTAATAAAAATGTTATATGTATTATATATATGACTTGTTTTCCTTGATACACTGGAGCGTCGAATGTCGGGCTACGTCACTAGATAGTGGTAAATCAATTACTATGAAA